GATATGAGTACTTATAACCTTAGTTTGGATGCTGACTTTAAGATAGATCTTATTAGTTGGTTTAAAATAAACACATACGTATTTTAAGAATTTCATATTCCCTATACACATATGTATATACTTGCCAACCAAATTTAAAAACGTTGGAACACTGGCAACATTTTTTTTTTTGTTATTTCGCATTATATCCATTTTATTTAAGATCTGTCATGCGTTGACAATTATTTTATTTTACAAGGGTAGTTAACAGGGTGTGTTTTATTTGTAGTAAGTAATTTCCTATTGTGAATTATTGCGAAGTTTAATTAGTGGTTGAGTTGGTGAGTGGTGTGAGGCGGGTATGATTAGATTAAGTAATTTGGTCCATTGCAAGATCCAGCGGGTGCACTCTCTTGAGTCTTCTGGTGGTGTTGCTGTTGTCCAGCAGGCCAACTGCTTTGTTGTTGTTGTTGCTGCTGCTTTTGGCGATCTCATCACTGACCCATGAGATCTTGAGAACACTGTGTATGGAAGCATTGTTATGGTAAATATGTGCATTGCAAACGATGCGCAGTGCCTGGTTTTGAAATATCTGAATCAATCTTAGGTTGCTTCGGCTTGGATTTGCGGCAATAAGCCAGTAATAGGACTTTAGCTTGTCCTCGATTGTTTTCTTTTCTTTAAAACGTTTTTGGTATCGTCTCTTTTGGTATTACAGCTCCGCCTAGGTAGTCTGGTAGGGAGTTACCAGGCCTGAGAGAGAAAGTGGTGGCAGTGGACTTGTCGTTGTTCACCATGATGTTCCAATTGCTCTGCCATTCGTTGAGTGTGTCCAATGGGCCTTGCATGACTTGAGAAGCCTCTTCACGTGCATATCTATTACATCGGACTATTTTATTATATCTTTTATAAGAGCAATAAAATTTCAATTTGTTTTTCGATCGAGAACGCTATATGATTGGAAATATATGAGTAATTATATCCTTAGTTTGGATGCTGATTTTAAGATAGGTGTTATTAGTTGGTTTAATGTAGACAATATTATAATAATTTCACATTCCCTATCCATATATGTACTTGCCAACAAAATTTAAAAACGTTTGAGCTCTGGCAACATGCATAGATAAGTTGGCAGGCCTGGTCATAATTTGCAGAGAGTGGTCACACTGAATAAACTACAGCTGAGTTTGTTTATTTTGCTTGTTGTGTGCGGAAAATTGAAAAATGTCAAGCGAGGAAAAGAAAAAAAGAGGGAAAAATTTTACGGCAGAGGAGGAACAAGTTCTCATGGAGCTGCTCGAAGAAAGGAAGAATATTCTGGAGAATAAAAAGTCCGACGCAGCTACCTGGAAACAGAAAGAGCAGGCCTGGGAAGAAATGGCAGACACCTTTTACACCAGAACAGGCATTCGGCGCGAATGGAAGGCATTAAGAGACAAGTTTATAAACATGAAAAGGCGGTCCAAGGTTGAACTGGGTGAGGACAAGACCCACAGTTTTCGCATGGGTACAGGAAAGTTTATTGCCTTGATGGGGGATTCAACAGCAGGCTTGAGTAACCAATTCGACAGCGATGCCTGTAAGTATTTTAATTTAGCAATCGCTTGATACTAACACACAAATCTAAAATCTCCTTGCAGCCAATGTGCCCAATGACATAAACTTCGAGGGGGAAGATGACATGTTTGCAAGTTCCACAGATACGCATGATGTAAGCACCTATTATTATATGCATGCAGGTGGACAGTGATATATTTACCTTTAAAGGTCGCCAATATTTCTGCACACAAGGAAGTCATGGCAAACACAAGTGCCGACTGGCCCAGTTGGAACCCAAGAACCCTGCGCAGCTTGGATGAGGAAAAGATTAAATTGGTGTTGCTTCAGCAAGATTTTTATAAAGGCGAAAATTTGCGAGCGCAAGAAAAACATGACCACGAAATGCTTAAAGAGAAAATTAAGCTGGATCAGGAAGTACAAGAGGGAAAACTGCGAATTGAAATGATGGAATTGGAAATTCTGGAGAAACGAGCAAGGCTAGATTTAAAATGTGAGTAGAACGTTGTTTGACCAACTGTAAGCAACAATTTAATTCGACTTGTATTGCAGAGGAGGCATTTCATCTCGTTTCTTGCGCTGTAAAAAATGATTTGATTATCAATTTTTAAGTAATAAAGAAAACAAAACTGCTTCGGGATGCCGAAGACTTAGTACCCTTGCAGATATATAAACAGAGCTGTTGCTATCACAACACGGTGCTAAATAGCGTTTAAAACAATGTGTAACATCCTGCCGAAGTTTTGACGAAAGCTGCTTTTATCTTACAGTGCTTCATTTTTTTATATTATTCGTTTTCTAAAAACAGCCTGATCTTTTTTATTACAACGATTTGTTATAGTGACGTGTTTTGGCCGGATCCAAAAAAAATGTACATATCTTTAAGACTCGCAGACGAAAATGAGTACAGACTGACTTGACTATATCCACTCATCTGGTCGTCGTTATTGAAAAAAGTTTATGGGTTTAAATTATTAACCATTATTGGGCTATATATAAATATATTTAGTCAAATGCAAGGGTATAATAACTAGGCCGAATTAAGTGTATGGATAAGCTAAATAAATTTCGAAATAATTTAGTATCAACGATGACTATCTGACTCATTATTTTATGAGAGTAATAGGGAGTCCGCTAATATATTAGGTCAACCTGATGGTAATTTTCATTAAAAGAAGAAGAAGCTGGTGATCTGATCTCAATGTTATGGCTTGCAAAAAGTTTGTTCTTTTATTTATACCGCTTACCCATTAATTGCGAAACTGACATTTCAAATTATATTCGATTTATATTATTCCTTAATTTTCGTGTGGATTTCATACTGAAGTTTTAACAAATACACGTATTTCTGAGTCAAATATAAATTTACTAACATGCAAGAGTACAAACATAATAGAGTACTCATAAATACATCTTTTCAAAGACTGGGCTTCCCCCTTCCTTCCCCACCTTCTAATGTGGTTGTACAAGAGTATGTTTCTAGTTCCAAAGCTAATATATTTTTTGGGAACGGCGCATAACGTTTTCATAGTGTAGTGGTCGGCATATTTATTTTGACAAATACTTTTTTTGACTATCGGCATTTGCTTAGTTCGTCTGCATGGATACAACAAATTGTATCATATTGTATGTCAACTTATTTAAATTAAAAAAATATTTAAAAATTTGTCTCGGCAAAGTAATTATGGCGGCCATTGTATCTTTAAATCACGTTATTAGCAAAGCGCATCAAAACTATCGTATGAATTTGGTATGTGTGTGCCTATGTGGGTGCGCTACTGTGGCCATCTGTTAGGCATGACGGCATGGCAGGGTCTTTTCTCACTTTTGTTTTGCTACGGCAGTACGACAACAAACCGGTTCCTCTATTGAGCACTGATAGTGTCACTTGGTTATTTTGGCCACGCTTATCTAATTGCCTGTCCAGATACTGCTCACCCAATCTCAGTAGCGCTCGCATGCTCTCTTTCGATAGTCTTCTGGCGCGAGCTGAGTATGCTTTGCCTCAAAACTTTTGTAAACGAAAAGCCAGCAGTCAGTCGCAGTTTGTCGGTGGTGGATAATAGTCGTTTCTTTTGGTCGACATTTACGTTTCTAAATTTGAGCAGCAACAATGTCCGAGGGCGAATCAAAATTTGGATTCAAGGACATGGAGAAGGCGTTGGAGACGCTCAAGCTGTTGGAGAGCCATGATATGCAGTACCGCAAGCTGACAGTGCGCGGACTACTGGGACGTGCCAAACGTGTTCTGACAAGTAAGTTACGAACGAGTCTCTTTTTTAACTCTTCACAGCAAATTTTTGTCTTTGTACAGTGACAAAAGCAGCAGAGAAGCTAAAGAACATAAATGATGCTATTGGCGTGTTTGAGCAATGGCTAGAGGAGAATGGCGGCGGTGCGTCCAACAAAAATGCAAAGACTGATGGTGACGATAAGGTGGAGACGGTGCCTGGTCTGGGCTTTAAGGACAAGGCGGCGGCGCAAGCAACTCTGAGGTAAGAGCAACTGACTGTGCATACCAACAGAAATCAGCTTTTAAGGCAGAAGGTCATAGTCAGCGGCATTTTGGCTATGCCGCCATTATGATGTCATGTCACAGTTTTAGTGTTTAATACGAACGCTCGCACTCTCGGATTTGATTGTGAGACCACCTCGCCTCGGTTTCCTCTCTGACTGCTGCTCTCTGTGCGTATACATATGCAAAGCATTTGGCACGCTACGCGAACATACTCGACATCCAGAAACATTCCACTGTTTGTCTATACAAATATTTATATTTCTATATGTGAATTAAATTGATATATCGAAACATTTTAATTGCAGCATTTTGGAGGAACGTGATCCAGAATATCAAAAACTAGCTATCAAGGGTCTTATTGGCAGCTCGAAAAGGGTGCTCTCTGGGACCAAGAATGAAGATAAAATTAGTGCTATCAAAGAAGGCGTGCAAGTGCTTGAAGAGTTTCTCGAAAAATTCGAGACGGAGAATCGAATCAAGGACAACCGCGCCTATCTTTCACATGCAGTGGTGGCCGCGTTGCCTGAACCAAAGGAGAAACTGGCGGCTGAGTTCCTGGCTGCTTATGGAGGACCCAAGGCCAAGGGCAACTACAAGCACCTGCGAACGATGTATCCGAAGGACGAGACTACAAGTTGGGATATAATACGTAATCGTCAAATAGCAAAATTGCTGGAACAAATTAAAAGGGAAGATGTCAAACTATTCGATAAGGAGACAGGCGCGCCTAGTGAGTTACACTTACAGCTTATACACTGGGCCTACAGTCCACAGCCGGACAAGGTAAAGAACTACATGGACAAACTAGCCAAGAAGTCACCGGAGAAACGCAAGATGGATACCGACAGTAGTAGTGACGCTAACAACTCCAGTAGCAACTCGGAGTCAGACGAGAGATCAGTTCCGAAAAAGAAGAAGAAGGAAGAGTGATATAAACACACAGGTGTTATCGGCTGGTTTGTGTAACGAACAAAAACGGTATATACTTTATTTAAATACGTTAACTCAACCTTAGCGCGATTACATTTTAGTAGTGGACTCTTTCGTTTGTATATATGAATGAAATTTGATGTATGTATGTAATTGCTGCTGATAAGGCCTCGCTTAGATGGGCTACGCATCTAACGCTAGCCATCTAATAATCAAATACATGAAAATGTAAAACACCTTTTCCGGTCTACACTCTATATGTAATCATTCAAATAGAAATTAGACCGGCAAACGATTGTGACGTGATCGTTGCTCGATAGGCTTCGATTTTTTATGGTGGCCGACCGATTGACGCTTCTAAGCACTGCTTGCCAACAGTTTCTCAAGTTGGGCCGTTACAAATTTGGTATTTTTCATTAACGAAACGCAGTCGCACAGGAAAGCAGTGTGTCCCCACACACCCATACAAAATTAAATTACACAATATACATGAGACATGGCTGTTACACCCACAAAGTGGTGTTCCCACAGTCCGCCTACTGGTACTTATGCAAGCCACTGTCGTAGTAATCTGCAGTTGTCGATTTTTGCACGCGAAGTTGCGACTGCGACTCCGGCGATGACTTCGCCAACGACAAGGTCAACTGATGCTGCTGGTCTGCTTGCTTGCTGGTAAGGTGCCCATATGCCATGTTAAAGAGCGCATCCGGATCACACACGAAGCGATAGACATAGCGTTCACCATTGACTTTTTGCATGATTCCTTTCTCATAGTAATAGCGAAGGCTACGCGAAAGCTTGTCATAGTTCATAGCTGGTCTGTTCTTCTGTATGCCCCAACGGCGAGCTACCTCCTCCGGTTCAATGAGTTTAAATTCCATGCCGCGACCTGTCCAGGCGATGCAGCTAGAACTGGGTGCATTACACACAATACGAAACGTAAGCATGTTAAAAATCAACTTCTTCTCCACTTACCTAGTGGCGGGCTCGTCAAGTAGGGCCACCAAAAACTGCCATAACTGGAGCGAGCCACGACGCTGGCTGATGGTCTGCGCGTTGCTGCTGGTGGATATTGCATTGCTAGCGTAAAACTGATCAAGGCGCAGCTCCGCATCACTGGAAGTTGTGGAGTCAACCACACTAGGACGCAATGGTGGTGGATAGGTGGAAGATATAGTGGCGTTGTAAGGCCCACTGTCGTATTTAAGATCTGTCTCGCTGCCCGTGGCTGTGCTAGGTGAAATATCACGATAGACAGTGGCAATAGACCCGCCATGTGTCTGGGGATTCGGCTGCTGTTGGTGGGTATAGTGTGGAGCCGCGGCATAGACAGCCGAGCTGGATATTACGGCCGTATGACTAAATTTAAAGGCGGAGGCTGCGTGCACCGGAGTTAGGTGAGCATGTGCCTGCTGATGTGTATTCTGCGGCTGTTGATGTTGGGTATGAGAATGCAGTGAATCATGATGCTGCTGCTGCTGTTGTTGTTGATGTTGATGTTGCTGTGCAGCGGCGGCTGTTGTGGTGGAGTCGGCATGCTCAATCTTGGTGTTGTGCTGATGAAAGTGCTGACCAACTGATACATCATTGCAATATACAGCAGCGGCGGCGGCAGCAGCTGCCGATTCTGAAAAAGGTGGGTAGAGAGTTGAAAGAGCCAAATGAAAGCCGCTTTTAGGCATGTTTAAACAACACATTGAGAGTGGGGACTAATTACATCGTACATTTACACTCTTCACAAGGGTGTGTCATATTTTTGACCAGTTAGGTAATGTAAGGACAGAGACTAAAAGGGTAGTAGGCTTTTTGTAGTCCTTATATGACTAACGGAAAAATCATCAGCTCTTAACCATATTAACACGCATAGTCACAATTAGTTATTGTACTCACAAAGTGCAAAGAACATATATTGGTTTATTGCAATCTCCTGTCCTTCCGTTCGTCCTTCCCAAAATGCAATTTTTTGGGAGCTCTAGAAGCTACAAACATGCGATTTGGATTATATACTCGTGTATATCCGCATAAGTGTCCTCTATAGGTAAAATTTATATTTACCACAGTTTAAAAAAAGATTCACATAACATTTCAGATTTGAAGACCTCCTTTAAAGATCAACTCAATATCGATATTTTAGGCTACGCCCAAACACGGTGCCTCAAATCGTGGAAGTATATAAATTCCAATATTTCAAAGCTAGATCAAATTTGGAATGAAGAATATTGTTGAAGTCCTTTGGAGATCGATATTTTGCCTACGCCACAGGCACATTAACTCACATAAATTTGATATTTCTTAATATATTTGGCGGGTAGCGCAATAGAAAGAGTATTACTTGTTTTATTTCATGTATGTATGTACTAAATCCATTTCAATTTAAATAAAATGGAATTTTGTAACCTTTAACCTATGAAAGCTTTAACAAATAATTATTAGAGATACTAACATGTTGAACATTAAAATATATATATATATATATATATAAACTAGCGGGTATACCCTTGCCCGTGGCAAGTATAAAACGAATTCTCTTAAAGATCTTTGAAAATGATTTTGAAACTGATCGGACGGTAAACCGAAAAATTTTCATACAGCCGTTTCCGCCAATTAACCACTGTTGCAGGTGGAATTCCCCAAATCGCTGAAACACGTATTCATTAAGTTTTAATGGCCCAAATAATCTTTGAATCGCATTTTCCACCAAGGAAGCTTTGATTCTGCTAACAGTTTGAAACGCGTCTCAAATGATTTTTCATATTGATCTTTGGAAAGAATTTGAGCGAGAAACGTCACCCAATCCTTGACCCCCACTTCCACCAAAGAGGACTGGATTTTTCGAAAAGTGTGTAACAGCCTTCAAATGAATTTGAATAAAGATCTTTGAAAATGAGTTTGAGGCCGATCGGATGGCAAACAAAAAAGTTTAATACAAACGCGTTTTGCGATTTTTCCACACTTACAGGTGGAATTTCCCGAAAACACGTCTTAGCGTGCACCTTCATTACATAAGGGAACTACCGTGCAAATTTCAGTTTACCAGCTCTTGCTGTTTGGGAAGTGCGTTGAACACCAATCAGTCAGTCAGGATAAACAGTTGTATATACTGAGGAGAATATTTTACAAGGTGTTTTGCTGAGTTTGTTAAAAATATCTAATGAAACGAAACAACTGCTGCTTTACTAAGATACAATCTGGGCGACTCCTGCATCAAGAAGGCGATCCTGTTGAGACTGGGTTGGATAGGGCTAAAGTAGGCGGAGATTATTTTTTTAATGGGTTATACAGAGCATAACAACATTGTGAATACCTCTACATTTTTGTAATTACTGGGTTAAAAGACCATAAAATAAAGATACAAAATAAAAAATATATTAGTCTGCTTGAAAGCTCTTTCCTTAGAATGCTGTATTTCAACTAAAAGTCAAGTTTGTTTTTAGAATATTTAGTGTAAAATAGGAATGAAGGGTAGAAATACGAGTTGGTCAGCCTGTTTTGTTGTTTCACTAAATGGCCAAGGTATTTAGCACGAATTAATTATTTAAGCAGCCCACTCCAAACCCTTGTAAATGCTCAATATGCTGCAATTTAAGGGCAAACAACAGAGCAAACCCCGCCCGCCTTTCAGCGTTAGTCCCCCACTCATAACGCCCTTTTCATTAGATGGTCGCCTGGTCCTGGTCTCTCCTTGGCATCCGCTCAAAATCACATCAGCAGGCAACGCGACTCGACGCTGGTCGCATTAAATATTCACGAGATACCTCTGCATAATCCATGAGAAAGTGTTCGACAAGTAAAAACATCATTGCCGATAACAACAAACGAGCAGCGAACGGGCGTTGAAAACCTGTTGGCTGCCAAGGCGTACTGCACAGTAAGTATTTCCCAGTGGTGCGACCCACCCCCTTAGTAGGCATGCTCAACTGAATCCACTCAGCGGCTGGTGATTGAGTTGCTTGTTTGACTGCAACCCCCATGCCATCCGCTGCCGGGGGCCAACTAAGAGCATCGCGCTTCTGTGTTGCTTTCAAATTGAATTCCAAGCCCATGCCACCAATTGGATTAGCGGTTACTAACACCGCGGATGCTGTTATTGTAAATTATGCGCGCGATTTCTTACATTTTATTCAAAAATGCAAAAGTAAAAGAAAACCCAAGTTCCCATGCAAGTCATCTTGTAGAAAAACAAATTGAGTTATTGGCACCAGAACTGATAGCTCCAGCTCCTACGTATCTCGGATTTATGCCATAAGCTATCTGCAGCTGCACGTAGCTGAGCATAATTTAAATAAATGAGGAACGCATGGCTTTAATAATTTCTTTTCTGATTCTCATTTGCTTACCTTCGTCGCTCTTCTTCAAAATGCCCGCGGGTGGCGATGGTGGAAACCTGGAGGCAGCATTAAGAAAAATAAATATATTGAAAATATAAAAATTGATTGACTTAAAGTCGCCTTTTGGTTACAATCTACTGGCTTGTCTTGTCAGCGGCTGTAGTTGTGGCTGCCACCTCCACCTCCGCTTACAACGTACCTGTAGCAATAAGGAAGTGGGTGGGCATGCGGGTGCGGGTGGGGGTGTGTCACAGCGGGTATGTCGAAGAAAGTTGATGTTCTTTCATGGCGCACGCCTTTGACATTCACTGCAGATCCAGAGCGGCATTGGACAGGTGGGCACAAGAAAAGGAAACATTTTTAATGTGATTTTCAGCAGTAAAAGTTAGGTAGCTTTGCTACTTTTGTTAGATAATATTTCGCATTACGGCTCGCGCCGGGATATCTTTGAGCCCGCAAATCGAGCTTGTCATATGCACATGGTAAGTGCTCCTAAGAAGACATTCATACTAATACTTGAGCTATCGAATAGTGGAGCAAACGCACATTATAAAATATGAAAAGCAAATTACTAAAGATGGCGATAAAAAATCACTTAAATTAAAGTAAATTCTTAAATGAAATACAGAGCTGAGTTTTAGTTATATAGTTTAACAAGCTGTAAGTACATAATCTAAATTTTCAAATATATAGATATATATATATTTAACAATTTAACAAGCTGTAGTTACACTAATCTAAATAATCACATATATATACATAACGGAATTCAAAACATTTGTCTGTTTTTTAATTTCCCGTTCTATGCCAGTTCGCTTCAAAATCGGTATGTAGCCCTTTTTTTATAGTAACAAGTGTCAAATCTATTAATCATCATGATTTTATATTCAATTGACTTAACATGTAGATAAAACGACTGATTTTCAAAATTGAATATATATAAACTCAAGGTTTTAAGGGACTTCAAATCTTGTCTCTCTTTTTCGGAGTAAAAGCGAATGTAGTTGTATGTATTGATGTTAAAAATCGTTCCTTTGGATATTCTGTAATTCTTAACTGAAGCTCGAGTATTAAAAATCGCTTCAGGTTAAATTGCCCCACAATATTTTCTTAATAATAGACGCGTGCAAAGTAAAAAGTTAAGCAATATAAAACAAACAAAAAATAGAATAAAAGCCTTCAGGCTGAAGCAATCGCAAGCAAAACGAAGCTCATGCCACATCCCCATTTTGATTTGTTCTACGAGAAAACTCATAATGGGAGTTAATAAACAAAACGTGTAAATAGCAAAAGCAAACAAGAAGACGTTGATACACTGGACGTGGAGCTGCATCCTGGCGGACGTGGAAGCTTACCATTGTACCTTGCGTTCAAGTAACCCTCCGTGGAAGTGTCCAGCCCAAATTTGCCAATGGCGGCTGCCGCTGCCGCCGTCGGCGCTGGAGTCGTGTACATAACTAGCTCATCCGCCAATTGATGGTGGTGATGATGATGGTGATGATGCGCATACCAGGACGTTTCTCGAACAAGGTCTGCTTAAAAAAATGGTTAATGGTATCTTACATATGGCACGATCCATTGTTAAGTCACCATTGCAAAGAGATGTAGTACCTCCGTTGACGTTGGTGGCCAAGCCATTCATAAGAGCTCCTGCAGGTGGCGTAGAATTTCCGGACATGGACAGACAACAGGTTGGCGACCTTTGGCCATGCGTGGGCAGGGGGAGAGTGCAGATGGCTTCCATAAGCGTGTGGCTCACTTCCATTTCGCCGTGACTGTGATTGTGGCATTTCTTGCGCTCCGATTCTGAGTTCGCGCAGCTAGAGGAAGATGCGGAGGATGTGGCCTTGCCGATAACCGGCAGTGTTGAGGTGACACAGGAAACCACCGAATCTGTGGTTATAGTCGATGTATTTGGCGCCGTGTGATACAGCCCATGGTGATGTGGATGCGAGTGCGAATGGGGGTGATGGTGATCCAAGTGCGTCAGCGTCTGCTGTAGCTGCTCAAGATGAGTCTTGGCCTCGCTGTAGTCGGCCTATTGAATAAGGAAATGAATCAAGGCGCAGCAGGAAATTATGAGTTTGTTTTGGGTCTTCTTCTTTAATTTTGGCAAATGAATTGCCAATTTGTTCTGGGGTTGCCGGTCGGGCTTTAAGTGACCTAGCCCGCAACTTTAAAGCCACCTGCTGGGGTGACAGCGTTACTACCCGCTGCGCTGGCCGGGCAAAGCAGGTTACGGTTAGAGTTACGGTCACGGCTACAGTTACAGATCCCGGTACAAATAGAATAGAAGCAAAGTGTTCGTCACATTGACATACTCAAGTGTGAAGAAGTTGTGGCAATTAGCTTAACAGCTTCTAGCTCCGGCCTTGCATCGTGTGTGGTGCACGGGTGTCAATTGTCTTTTGTTGTGCTTATGGCTGTGTCATTAAGTAATGAGGCATTGTCCACGTCAAAGCGAAATTCACTAAAGAGTAGAATTCGTTTCAACTAGACCACGACAGGGATTGGGAGTGGGACTGAGACTGGGAGTGAGTGTGAACAGAAACATATCATATACATACATAGCACTACATATGACAAAGACAATAGAAACCTGCGTTTTATTGACACTTTTACATTTAATGAGGTGCGTAGACTGAGGTCAGCCGAGTTTAAGGGCGGTGACATCTGTCACTCTCTCCACTCATTATGGCTGGCAAGCATTTCACTTTCTAGCTGGTCAGTAAGATCTAATGATGCAGGCAAATTTACCGTTGATCTGCCATCCGTCTTGGCTTTTGGGGCAAGCCATTTAATGTTTGTTTCAGCTGTCAATTTTTATTTCTGTTGCAAGCTGCATCTTCCGCCCACTATCGAAGTGTATTGGCACTTGACACCCAGAAACTAGCACACACCAGGCGTTGCGCTTCGGTGCATTTGAGAATCATTTATACCAATGTTACTCCTAATTACCTACAAATGTATGTATGTATGTATCTACAAAGATACATATGTACATAAAAAAAAGCTGCAACAAATTTAACTTCATGCGGAAACGCAGAAAGCGGCAAGTTTCTCAGCTAGAAGGCACAGAACGTGCAATGTGCAGCTTTCTCCGGCTATTTACACAGAAAATAGAGCTAAAGGTTATGTTAATTTAGTACATTAAACTTAAAATGTGGCATTATATTTTGAAATATCTAAGTATACCATAATAGGAAACGCCCCGCCATTGGCTGTGGTTACCAATTTATGTATTGCAAAATATGGCTGCAGCCAGGAAAGACTTTGTGCTGAATTTAATAAGTGCAAGCAAACAATTTGTAAAATCAAATTACGGACATAATTTAGCGTAACCGTCAAACGCAGCCGGCGAAGCGTTGCCACTTGGCACGCGGTTAGTGCAGACACAAGAATTATCGGAACTAATCGTTTTTTGTTTGACAATTTTGTTTTGGTAGATGCCAAAACCGAAGAAGCTTTCGAAGCTAATGCTGATAATGCCATCAAATGGCCATAATACCACCTTGTAGCTAATGGTTCATTCAATTAACTTATAAGCCAGCTGAGCAAAACTAACTGACTAGCTGGGTGATCAACTTTGAACTTTTGCAAACAATGTGGGTGCGGGGGGCTAATATTACGACGCATGCGCGCCCGCAACTTAAATTACGAAACGCGGCGTCGAGGCTGGCGTTGATGTCGTGTTTGCTTTGAGTTTGTAAGTTACTTTGATCTACTTTGCAGCAGCTGCGACAGAAGACAATGCTTTTATTTTTTTGCCTTTGTGCGAGCTGTTTTTTCCACGCTCGTGTGCGTTGCTGTACCTGGCGCTTGTCGTGGAAAACACTTTCACTGCACATGATGAGGCAGTGACACGACTTCGGCGTCTCTCAGCGTTGTCGTCGTGAACTTCTTGTGGGTGCTGCTGCGGCTATGTGTATGGAAGCGCGACCGAGCGAGTTTCTCGGTCTCGCATGCGTTACCGCCGAAGCTGGGAGCACATTTTCGGTTGAGCAGTGGACCAGACTGGTGGTGCCTCATCCGAGTCTACTTGACATATACGTCGAACACTTCAATGTGCAGCGTCAGCTTTAAATCATGCCAGGATCAGTATCAGACTTCATGAGTAGACCGAATAATTTGATGCGCTTTGTGTTACTAAGCGCCGTACTACTACAAGGTGAGTCCACGTACAAATTTATCTTATTGCGTTGAACATTGACTGACTGACTGAATAATCTGCTTTCAGCTGTTGTAAGCCAGCCTTACCAGACGCCACACCGTTGTTCGAATCGTCTGGAAAACGCGCTCGAGCACATGCGCCGTCGCAGTGCTCAAACCAAGGACTCCTCGCGAGGGCGTTCCCGTTCCATGTGGGAACAGCCGTTTCAGACTCCATATCAGCTGTATCATAGATTTTATGGACAGCATACCGAACCTGAAGATGATTTCTATAATGTAGGCGGCAGCCCAAAGTACGGGCGTGGCTATTATGCCAAGCACATTCGCCGCAATGGACGTCCCTATCAGTCCGACAGTGGATTAAGCGGCAGTGCTCTGGAATTTGAGGAGTTACTGTCTTCACATCAACAAAAACAACAGCAGCAACAGCAACATTACCAGCACCGGCAACCGCACAAATTGCCCATATCGCGAGTGGAGGTTGAGGATCTTAAGGTTAGGGTCCCGCCGGCAAAGTCCTCATCACGCTGGGTGGAGATTGACAAGTGCAAGTTCAGCACTGAGAATTCCACGTTGGACACGCGTCTTATTTTTCCGGATTTAACTCTCAGTGGCAAGATAATCCTCCAACCTACAGGTGGACGGTGCAACATGATATTGCGCATGAGGCACGCAGGAATTGAGTTTCGCACGGTGCCGTTGGGCCCAGCATCAGCGGCGCCCTCTTATGAGCAGTCGCGAAGGTTGGGTACCGCCTCTGTGCGCACAGATTCGCACTTTGCCGAGCCTGGCTTTATCTCCGTGTTTGCGCACGGCTGCCAAGGACCAAGTGGCATCAGACTCCGCCAAAATTCGAAACGACGGTTCGGCTACGGCGAGGGTACGGCGCCACAGGTAGAATTGGGTGAGCCACACGTAATCTTAGGCACCACTGGCAAGTATCAAAAGCCAAACTACGATATCCGTCTGGAGCATACTACACAGCGAGATCAGAGCCTGACGTTTGGAAGCAACGAGGGATTTGGTGATTCAACCGAGTTCTTTGATGTGAATGGCGACAACTTTTACCGACGTCGACAGTTGGGTAAACGACGCCGACGGCGTCGTCGCAATACGTTACCCACCTATTTCTCGGATGAAATTCATTTCAATGAAGACGTACTGCATTTTGAGGATGAGCAGCTGCAGCAGCTTGTCGAACCAGATGCCCGTGCTTTTGCTGATATTTTCACTGGCGGAAGTGGTAGCAGTGGAGCCAACGGTAATCACGAAGAGTTTGTAGGTGATGCCATGTCCAATGAGCTGGAGAAGCTCTTTTCCATGGGCGTGCGAGGTTTGCTTACCACCTACATGCAAAGAGCCCTTCAGCCGGCCATCAAAGAGACGCTTATGGAGAATATGGGCTACACGCTTAGCTACGGCTGAGATCTGTGATCCGCCAGGATTTAAGTTTATTATACGAGTAAATGTATGAACAAGGTCTGAATGAATTAAAGCTTTAAGTACTTAATGTCGAGATAACATTCACTTTTTAAATTTATTACGGAATTAACAGTGGTTTTTTGTATTGATCTTACCAATTTGACTGTATCCATGTGTTTTGGTCTCTAGATCTTGCACTTGACTGAACTTTACACACACTGGCGGATGCACTCTTGGACTTGATTGTTTTCTCATGCAAAATTTCAGTAATGGGATTTCACCTTATTTCCGTGCATCAATAATTTTGAATTATTAATCACTTCATGGCATTCACTAGTCACAGCCAGTGATCGGCGCATTCCGTCAATACCGTGCAGCGATTATGAAGTAGCCGTGGCAACTGTTAGCTCTGCACAAATTCTTAGAACGCGTCCAACGTTCACTATGATTTATGTGTTGGGGTTTAAGGGTTGATAGGCCGTTAGGATGCTGCGTCACATTGCGCAGACTCAAAACGCCCACCAAGAATGTAATTGGTGTGCAACTTATATTTTCAACAGCCAATCAGGGTTATTTATTTCCATGAATTGGAAAAATATTGTAGCTACATGTAAAAGATAGCAAAAATAGAAGAAAAGAATAGGAAAAGCCAAAACAGAGTCTTTTACGGTCCATAAAATTTTTAATCAATAAATTAACCTCTTAAATATAAAATTGCTGAGTGCATATTTATAATTTTTATATATTGAAAAAAATCTTTTAAATTAAAAACTTAATGTTTTCATTTCAAAAATTCCGCTAAAGTACCAGTGCTTTCACCCAAGTGGTATGGAAGAGAGTTGCCAGTCTTTGTAAGTTGCACCGCGATAAATACCTAGTGCATTCTGGTGTATCGATGTATTGAATGGAAAAGTATCGATTAATTTTCGTAACATTTAAAAAGTGTATTGATGAAAACTTGTGGTAAATGTCGGTAATTAAATTTTCACCTCTACAAATGTAAAACAATTATAGAAATTACCAATTACTTACTTATAAAGGAAAAAGAATGATATAAATATTTTTTTTCTGTTTAAAATATCGATTGGTCGATACAAAATCAGCATCAACAATAAGAATTGAACAGGGTGGGTGCGAGTGTAGGTGTATGAATAAACAACAAATATTAATATACCTAAGTAGAGTTCATATGCTGGACTATTGCGGAAGTAAGCGATATCTCTATTAAGAAAAAATCATATTAAAAATATGTTGATTACGCATTGTGTAGGGCCCATTTGATAACAGAGGTGATGACGCGGTCAATGGTCAGGCGGTGGTGTTGGTTGTGTCTGTACGCATTATATAATTACCAACACATCTATAAACATATGGCTTTAGGTGATCTCTAAGCCCTTACCGCCAAGTGAACAATAACAATATCGAAAACAAAGAGAAAAAAGTCAAAATACAACAATGAATGCATAATAATACTTATGAATCCGAGCGTTAACCTTGGGAACCCAATGAATTTCGTGCCGTCTCCAATTGCGTCAATGTAAATACATATATTTTAATACCATGGTATTTTTTCCATTTCAGATCGTCCCACATCCTCATTGCACATAAGAACATATAACATACTTAATGCATGCCAGGCTGGTCGGAAACTGCCACAGACAATGATGCTGTAAACAAAGGTTCAGAAACGGTTTAGCTGATTTCGATTTAAGAGTGTGTTTCTTCTGCTTCACTTGTATACTGGCGACGTATGCAACAAGCGCAGCTTGGCAAGCGCACGGTCTCCGACAGCTGTTCCAGATACAGCTAACACAATGTCGGACAGCACTGGCGTGAATATGAAGGCCGATACCGGAGCTGCTGGCACGAGCAGTTCCAGTGGGAAGGAGGGCTCCTACATACGCACAATAGAGTGGGACATGATGAACAAGACCAAGTTCTTTCCACTTTCCATGTTGAGCTCATTTTCGGTGCGTTGTTGCTTGTTTCCACTGACTGTGATCAAGACTCAGCTGCAGGTGCAGCATAAGAGCGATATATATAAAGGCATGATTGATTGTGCCATGAAAATCTACCGCTCTGAGGGCGTGCCTGGTCTATATCGTGGCTTCTGGATATCTTCAGTGCAGATTGTATCGGGCGTGTTTTACATCAGCACCTACGAAGGTGTGCGACACATACTCGGCGATTTGGGTGCTGGTCACCGTCTCAAAGCTTTAATTGGTGGTGGATGTGCGTCGCTCGTTGGCCAGACCATCATAGTTCCTTTTGACGTAATATCACAACACGCCATGGTCCTCGGAATGTCGGCTCATGCCGGCGCGAAAGCTGATATAAACCCTTTGGGTATTAAATCCTGGCCTGGTCGCAGCCGCTTGCATATATCTATGGACATAGGGCGTGAGATAATGCGACGTGATGGGTTTCGCGGCTTTTACAGAGGATACACTGCCAGCCTAATGGCCTATGTGCCCAACTCTGCTATGTGGTGGGCGTTTTACCATCTATATCAGGGTAAGTTGTATTGCTAGTACACATTATTGATTAACGCTTCACACATTTATTTATTCAATATGTCACCGAAGACGAACTGTATCGTATATGCCCCAACTGGGTCTCTCATCTTTTTATCCAATGTGTGGCCGGCAGTTTAGGTGGCTTTACAACGACGATACTAACTAATCCATTGGACATAGTACGGGCACGCCTTCAGGTAAGTCTTTGATCCAGTTTCAAAACTGTCTTCTATCACATATCAAAATTTCATTGGCTTGCAGGTGCATCGTCTAGACTCAATGGGTGTTGCTTTCCGCGAATTGTGGCATGAGGAGAAACTCAACTGCTTCTTTAAAGGTTTATCCGCACGCCTGGTGCAGTCGGCAGCTTTCTCGTTCAGCATTATACTAGGCTATGAGACCATCAAACGGATTGCCATAGACGAGCAATACAAGCATCAAATACGCTGGTAACGGAGCGCACAACTCTAAAGAAACCCAAATAAAATCGCATTTGCATTTACGCAACGTACTGAGGAACCACCAGAGATTTGTTGCTAAGCCAGCTGGAGCGCATTATGTGCTCCACTTTTGTAAATAACTGACGAGATGAATAGTGAAAGGCACAGGTTTATTAGCTAAATTCTTAACAATGATAATTTTTGTTAGGGCGTTTAAATGTATCTTACAAATAGTAAAAAAAATTGTTACGCTCTGCAATGTTTACATTACATAACTTATGCAATTTAACTTAAAAATAC